CACTTTTGAAAGACTTTCAGCGTCTAATCTTAATCATGCTGTGCCATTAAACAGCTATTTACCTGGCTTAGCGAGAGCAGTTAGTCACCAGCTGAACCTTCCACATAAATTTTATTGCTAATTAAATGCACAGATTTGTACAGAAATCAGCTTTATTCTACACAGTTAGTACTATGTTCAAATTAGATGAAGTAGGATAAGGAGCAAAGAAATATGTTGATTTTATTCAAGGAAATCAAAAGTATATGGGTTTTTAGCAAGCTACGACAGTAACATTGTAGAAGAAAACTTGCTAAAACTTCAAAACAAATTTGAATTAATTATTTACCGTTTGTTTGGCTTATCCAAATCAAAAAATGACCATTGCAACCTAATCCATCTATCTATTTCCCTAAAACATAAAAATTTTTTTTTCGAGACAATGTTACGTTTTTATCGTGATAAGGTAAAAAAAAATAAACTCAAATCCACTTTTCATTTTTCAAATGTTAGTAATCATACAAAAATTAATTGAAACCTTACCGATGTTCATGTTTCAATATTCCATTTCTAATTCCAGAAATAATAAAAGTTGTAATCATAAATAACGAATTCCCAGTTATTTACCCTTTTTTTCCTGTCCTCTTCGTTTTTACTTTTGGGTGCCTTCAAGCTATTAAAAAATTTTCTCCTTCCTTTATCCAATTTTGCAACAAATAACATATTTCAGTCGATAACAGCACTCATATCCAACAGAGTTAAATTTCTGCGTGTAAAATATAATTTTTCAACAACTAATAAGGCTGTAAAAAAACTCGATAAAATTTTTAATCAATTTTTTACTGTCTTTAAAGCCCCAATTTATGTTGCAGTTAAAAGTGAATGGCTGCAATTTATCCTTAACCGGAAAACAGCCATTTGTCTAAAGCAGCTAAAGCTTAATTTAGAAGCAGATGAAATCAGACGCAGACTATGAAAAGAAACCAGTTTTAGCGAGAGATGAGATAGAAAACCACTACTATAGCAGTAACTTCGAAAACTTCAAAAAGTCTCGAAGAAAAAACTTAAATAAACTTACTAAAAGCTATGTTTTACGTTTCAAAACTTGTTAAAAAACCTCAAGCCGCCAACAACAAGCATTACTTTGAATAGTAGTAGACGGATGAGGTGTCCCAGTCTTTTTTTGCCTTTTCAAAAAAAAATTGTAGCAAATTGTTTATTTTTAAGAAGCAAAGAAATAATACTGAAGAGTCATAGACAGTGATTTCTGCAGATTCCAGATGAAATTCTTTTTTTGACCAACTTCAGTTCAACTTAATTACGTTTCCCACCTGACTTAAAACTTTTTCCCAAAAAATTGGTAAATAATATGAATCTTAGTTTCTTTTGAATTACCTGAAGCAATCCCACAAAAAGAGACTACACAACTGATGATACAGCAAAATGAATAGATAGAGCAAAGCTTTTGTTTATTATTCTTAGTGTTTACAATCAAATTTATCCTATTATTACGCAATTTTTTTCAGTCTTGTTCAACTGGTTGCAGTTCAGAAGATAGACGTCGGTGTAAACACCGAATGAGCAGTGCTGATGTAGAGGAAGAGAGTACAATTTATCGGCGGTTAATCCGTCTTTCAAATCAAATTATAAGTGCTGAAAACGGTATTGAATGTGATGCATTTAATTCGTCACTCAATAATGTTAGTTTTTAGTCACTATTTCTTTTTTGACAGTCAAAAAACTTTTAATAATTCCCTTCTGGAACAACCAGTATTATTCCAATTTACTTTGCAGTTAATTCGTTTTCGCCGTCATATCTGTGGGGAACAGCCAAGCTGTTCATGCAACGACAAAAATTTTCAGTCAGGAATCTCCAATTGCGAAACAGTTTGTAATTCATTTCAAATACGCCAAAATAACGTTGAAGTAAATCTTAGCAGAAAATATACAAATGTGCTCCTTTTTTTAACTGTTCTTCTAATGCTCAATATAATGCAATTTTATTTATACATTTAAGAAACCTGTTGCGTTTGGTTATTCCACTTTTTATACTTTCTTGAACAGATAATCTTTATAAAGACTCTTAAAACTATATCATACGTAGAAAAACTCATAACAGCAAGAAATAACTACACTCCTTCTTATATGGAAGATCATCCTAAGATTTTTTTCCTGTAACACTTCATGCAACAACAGCAAACATGTATTACTTAATCAATGTTTGAACAAGAGTTAAAAGTAAGCTGCATGAACTTTTTAATTCTCATAACCGCCAACTCGCGACGGTAATTCGTTCCACGAAACAAAAAAATCACACCCCGTTCTTACTAAAAATTAGAGCCCTCAACCACAAATAAAAAAATTAGACACGAAAACTTTTACCCTTAATTATTAAGCTACAAATAACACGGAATTTTCACTCAGTAGAGGTTAAAAATCAACCAATTTGTGGAACCCAGCTTTTAAGCTCCTCCTTCTCTTCAAAATCACATTAGACCCCAGGAATAACTACCTCGGTGCCATAATTTACTTATCCTTCAAAAACAGTGCTTGATCACTTTTACGCTATTTTAAAAGCAAATACTTACCAACAATAAACTAGCTAAAATTTAAAATTTTTTATATGACCATGAAACGTGTGTAAGATTTACCCATAAGACAAAATTATTGATAGCTACAATAGAAACTTCAAGAAGACTTGAAACTCTGGACTACATGTTTTATAAACATGTGGTATGTACATTTCAACAAGACAAAGTAAACAAAATCTTCTATATTGAACTACAAAAATGATAACTTTAGACGGTTGAAAATAATTTGCAATATTACACTATTCAACTCAAGACAAAGTAATAACTCGATGTGGATAGAACACAAAACCACTGTAAAGCAAAAATTTTACAGTCATACATAAATCCCTCAAATAATAATAAAGTCAATCCAACAAAATTCACCCTTGAAGTAAAACATCCAAAAGCACAGCAGTCTGCAGCAAACAATAACCCTGACTACTATGCCTAATGCATACAGAATCTACAAAAATTAAGAACTTCATAAAGAGCTGAGCAATAACTCTTCTCAAAAAACAGTAAAAAAATAAAAAAAATTTTGAAGTGAGATCACGAGATGAAAGACACTGGATTGGGTACTTTAAAAAATGTAACGCTCATCAACAAAGGAAGTAGAACTGGAACTGTACATTAGGTTTAACCAACAGAATAAAGCGAGAGAACAAATTGAACTGCACAGAAAACATCTCCGTTAGACAACACTTCATAAAAGCAGAGAACGTGAAACTTATAATTTATTCCTTTGCTTTCATCTGATGAGTAGAAGAAGCTGTAGGTGCATCACTTCCTAAACTGCTTAATGTTCCTCCTGAGTCTTTAGCACTAACACTCTGAGCGCGATTAGATAAGGGACCTGTAGATTGAGAGCCACGTGCATCAGACGCATTGCCCGCAGAAGAATTCTCTGTTCTGCCTTCCGCTTGTTCATCCCATTCTTTCCTATCTATTTTTGACGTATTAGCGCTAGCGCCTGTTTGTTCAGCAGTCCCACCTTCTCCAGCTTCAGGAGCGATCACATCTTCACCCTTATAGGTCACCTCCTTAAAAGAAAATTTGCTAATAACAGTCATATAAAATGCTACACTAAAGAAAAATAAGGAAACGATTCAGAAACAAGATAAATGAAAAACTTCGATAATAAAACTGTGAAATTTACATTAAATATTATTTTATAACTGAAGAAAATTGAGCAAAAACCTTGTATCTCAGTATGAATCTCATAAATCTCCCTGAATATATTAGATTTTCTGAATGATTGGCTTACAACTCTTCATGATAAAATTCTTATGCGATTGATAGCAGATAAGAGCTTGCTGCCAATTGGAATGATAAACCTGCTTTCATTCTTAACCGCACAAATTAAATTAAAGCTATTTTCTTAAAATTTCTTCATTGGAAGGTATTTAAAAACGGTGAGTGTGAGAAAAATTGTCCTGCCCTAACGATGGCCATGTTGAGAAATACTGCAGAAAACCCTTCTCTTGATAAGAGACGCGTATACTAAGCTTTTGACAAGGAGGAACGTAAAGCAAAAAACGATCCTCTAATTCAGATATCAAAATCTCAAAGAATCTTCATCTTCAACCTTTATCAAAGAGAAGTAAATAAGAAAAATAAATTTATAGTAATAATCAGAGTTAACAGCTTACGAGGTCACGTTTGGCAGATGCTCCAAATTAGAAAAGTAGAAATATTATGAAAATATATACAGCAGGGGTTCAGGGAACAAGAAAAAAAATAGTTTAGGTAAACTTCCATGTATAGACCCCTTCAAGCGTCGCCAAAAGCTTCATTTTTATTTCAGTGTAATTCGTAGCAGGGTTTTATCTGTACGACAATCACAAGAGTTGTTTTGTAAAGACCTTTTAAAACACTCTTTTAACCTAGAACTTCAGAATGAAATCCTGTGCTCTTCTTCAAAGGTTTACTGACAAAATAGTATAACAGGACTCCATGGAATTAAGCGGATCTACTACAGGAGTTCTTGACTGTCAAAAAAAGATGGCTTCAAAGGGGAGATGAAAGTGACCTGCCAAGAATGAATAAATGGGAGAAAATTCTTCTCGTGCTGTTTCAATACTAAATACTGCAGTTCCAATTCGTAAAAGGGTTTTTTAACTAATTTTTAGGATTTCTGTTGGTAATCCTTCATCTCCAGACTTCACTTCTATTCATCATCCTTTCTTTAAACTGAATGACTTCTTAAGAAAAACTTAACTCTAACTAGAAAACTGACATGACGGATTTATTGAGCCAATCAGAACTTGTAAGCAAGACTTTGATACGGATAAAGTAATAATTACGACCCTACGAACTGCTAGCAAAGTTGCGTTCTTTTCAAAACTTGCCCTTAAATCGGATACGATATTTCAAAAATTGGTATTAAAAAGACTTGTTGTACACCACTCAACCAAATAAATCCACAGCTCCAAAAAGGAAAAAATAGGTATGTTATTTTCTACCAATTAAAGGACCACTTACCACGTCTTCTGGAAGAGGAAACTTTTTAAAAAGATCCTGAATTATAAGTGCTGTCCGAGTCCGTTGGTAATACGTGCTCCTAGCTGTCAATGGACTTTCTTCCTCAACCTCGTCCTAAAAATTAATTAATAAATGTTTTAAAACTTCTAGTAATATCAAGTTTATACAATAAAAATAACTTTCCAAAAAAAGAATAACGTACTGCTTTATCTTTCTCATCTTCCTTGAATTGCCAGTAGTAGCCCTTTGCTACATTATACCTTAAAAATAATATACGTTCAAGAAAAAATGTGAATCTCGCTAAATGATATCGCTCTGTTTGAAAGACGTAATGAGATTAATAAAAAAGTTTGCGATACTTTTAAACAATTTGTCGCTAGCAAAAAACAAGCTTGATTCTAACAGGAAGAACCATTATTAAAACAAAAGCGGTATTCTCCAATATTACCTGCTAAACTGTCGTGCGGTTTCAAGCGCCTGACGCAAAGGATGTACAATACCAATCAGTTTCGACTGAATGAAGGTATATAAATCTGGACACTGATAAACGGTTCCATTGACAATATAATAATAGCAGAGAGGAGTAACTAAAACAAAAGCAGCTTTGGACTCTAACAGTTTAGTGTAATGCCGTGTAACTGAAACAGTAGTAAATTTAACTGATATAAAAGCTGAAAATTTAGTCAGTAAATTCTCCCGAGTAAAAATTATCAATAAAGAAAACTGCATCAAAATTACAAAATTTTTGAAAAATTGAACGGATGGACACAGGACCCCTAGAATACTGTAAAATAAAGACTGCAAGATCATTCAATTAAAACTAGTGCAGTATTCAAAACATACCATTAGTAGGGCTATTTCTTCTTTGCTTCATGATTACAAATAAAGGAGGATTAGAACCCACCAATGTATACTGTATCCCGTTCATGGACCTGCCAAATTAAGACACAATGACTGCTAATGAGCGCTTGAAAATATGATAATATTATATGAGACAATTCTTATATGATAGGAGACAATTCTCCTGCCGAATTCGTTCAGTTAAAACTAAATTAAACAGCTCCTAATAGTTCTTCGGTAATATATAAATGCAATAAAACTAAATCTTTGCTATGTTAAATAAACTTACTGAAGACATTCATTTAATGGCCGATTCAAGTTCTGCATTTTCACTTGCTGATTACAAGATGACTGATCGTAAAAAATGTTTGCAGGATCACAAAAATAATCCAAGATGTTGTCCGAATTTAACAAATTCCCAGCAAAGTTCGGATTTTTGTACGACTGATGAAGTAATGGAACGGTTTGTGCGTTTGCACCAGCCATATTTTGTCCACCCAAGTAATTACCTAAGTAAAACAATGGTCATACCTAGAAGCAAATCACTCTTTAGGATATAAAGGTGACGAGAAGCCAGAAAACCGCTCCCCTTGGGACACTATGGACAAGAATAAGCTTTTCATATAACATGCAGCCAACTAACGAACATCAAGCATCTAAAGTAAGATTAACAAAAACACCTTTCCACAATCCTTGCAAAACACATATTTTGACTCTGGAAACAACGAAACCACGATTCCTTTTCCCCTAAATATTTCTCAGGTCAAAGAATGCCTCATATTCAAGAGACACGCCAATAACTCAGCTTCATCTGGCGTTAACATTAAATAAAGTTCCTCCAGCACTACTTAGCATCCTACGCATTGACAACGGTTATTTGTGAGCAAGAAAAAAATAAGGTCTTCCCGGCACATGGTAATACAGCAAACATTTGTTCAGCCAGCCAAATACACTTAAGCGAGAACACGCCTTATTAATGACATGCAGGTTTGCGTACAGACGACAAAGCATGCAACTAATTATTTGACAGAACCCGCGACATATTTTGGAGAAAACGCGGTGACAAAAGCAGAAATGGGTAAATTAAACATTTTTCTTCCACTCGTTTAGACATTTCTTTTTTCAGTGAGTTACAATAACGTTAGTCACACCTGCACCTTCCAGCCTTCAACTGACTGAAGCGCTCCAAAGAATAAACTTAGTACAGCTATTAATAAAAAAATCCCAAGCAACGCTGGTTAAGAGCAAAGCAAACGAAAAAGCAGTCTTCAGCGAAGCGAATACCTTGCGGTTGACCTCCAACCCAAACCCTTCCGAAGTCGCTTGACTGCATCACACCTTTAAACCGAACTATAAAGAAACAATCATTAGTAACATTCTTCAATATTAACTTCGTTGCAAGCCTCAATACCACATAACAATATATATAATTTTCAACAGCACACTATCAATTACATAAATACAGCATATCAGATCAGAACGGTGTTATAATACATAAACATCTCAAACTGCAGAACTCATAGTCTCAAGAGAACTGGGTTTCACAAAATATTCTGAGTCCATTAACCTCAACAAAGTAATATTTGGTAGTCCCAAACACTATTGAAAAATAACCCCC